TTGCCAACATGGATGCCTTTCATGTCTTTCTGTTGTCTGATGGTGAGGCTAGGACTTCCAGTGCTAAGTTAAATCACAATGGTGAGAATGGGCATCCCTGTCTTATCCTGACTGTAGAGGAGAGGTTCACAGTTTTTACCCATTGAGGATGATATCACCTGTGGATATTTCATATATGGCCTTTATGATGTTCATTTATGTTCCCTCTATCCCTACTTTGTTGAGGGTTTTTATTTAAAAAAATGGATACTGGACTTTGTCAAATGCATTTTCTGCATCTATTGAGAAAATCGTATGGTTATTTAAAATTTTTCTTTTATTTTAGAGATAAAGGGAAAGAAAGAGCACACAAGCAGGAGACAGGGGCAGGGGAGGGAGAGAGAGAGAGAGAGAAAGACAGAGAGAGAGACAGAAAGAGACAGAGAGGGAGAGAAAGAATCCCAAGTAGGCTCCATGCTTAGTGTGGAGCCCAACATGGTGCTTGATCCCATGATCCTGAGATCACGACCTGAGCTGAAATCAAGATTCACTCAATGGACTGAGCCACCCGGGTTCCCCAAGAATCATATGGTTCTTATCCTTTATTTTATTAATGTGGTGTATCAGATTCCTTGATTTGCAAATACTGAACCACCATTGCAGCCCAGGAATAAATCCTGCTTTATTGTCGTGAATAATTCTTGATTGTGGTGTTTTGTTTGATTTCCTATTATCTTGTTGAGAATTTTTACATTCACCTTCATGAAGAATATTAGCATATAATTCTCCATTTTAGTGGAGTATTTGCTTTTGGAATCAAGGCAATGCTGCCTTCATAGAATAAGTTTGGAAGATTGCATTCCATTTTTATTTTTGGAACAGTTTGAGAAGAATAGGTAGTAACTCTTCTTCAAATGTGTTGGAGAATTCCCCTGTGACGCCATCTGGCCCTGGAATTTTGTTTGTTGGGAGTTTTTTGATTACTCATTCAATTTTCTTGCTGGTTATAGGCCTGTTCAAGTTTTATATTTCTTCCTGTTTCACTGTTGGTACTTTATATGTTTCAAGTATTTTATCCATTTCTTCCACATTGTCCAATTTGTTGGAACACGTTTTTTGCATAGTGTTCTTTTATAATTGTATTTCTGTGGTATTGTCAACTCTCCTCTCTCATTCATGATTTTATTTATTTGGGTCCTTTCTCTTTTCTTTTTGGTAGGTCTGACTGGGTATTTATCAATTTTATTATTTTTTTTTAAAGAACCAACTCCTGATTTTATTGTTGTGTTATGTTTTTTTCTTTTTTCTATATTATTAATTTCTCTCTAATCTTTATTATTTCCCTTCTGCTGGCTTCAGGTTTCATTTGTTCTTCTTTTAGCTCCTTTTGGTGTAAGTTCAGGTTGTGTAATTGACATTTTTCTTTACTTATTGAGATAGGCCTGTATTGCTATATACTTTCCTCTTATGATTGCTTTTGCTGCATCCCAAAGATGTGGATCGTCATGTTTTCATTATCATTTGTTTCCATGTATTTTTTTATTTCTTCTTTAATTTTCTGATTGACCCATTTAAATTATTTTTTTTTCAACGTTTATTTATTTTTGGGACAGAGAGAGACAGAGCATGAACGGGGGAGGAGCAGAGAGAGAGGGAGACACAGAATCGGAAACAGGCTCCAGGCTCTGAGCCATCAGCCCAGAGCCCGACGCGGGGCTCGAACTCACGGACCGCGAGATCGTGACCTGGCTGAAGTTGGACGCTTAACCGACTGCGCCACCCAGGCGCCCCTGATTGACCCATTTAATTGACATTTATTTGTTTTCTTTCCACATGTGTGTGTGTGGGGGGGGGGTTAAGTTTCATAGTGTTGTGGTCTGAAAATATGTAATGGTATGATCTCAATCTTTTTGTACTTGTTGAGGCCTGATTTGTGACCTAGTATGTGATCTATACTGAGAAGTGCACCCATGTGCACTTCACAAGAAAGTGTATTCTGCTGCTAAGTCCATCTGGTTCAATGTGTCATTCATAGCTTCCTTGCTGATTTTCTGCTTATATGATCTGTCCATTGATGTAAGTGGGATGTTAAAATGCCCTACTATGATTGTATTATTATCATTGGGTTCCATTATGTTTGCTATTAATTATTTTATATATTTGGGTTCCTCAAAGTTGGGGACATATCTGTTTACAATCTTTTAGATTTTCTTGTTAGACCCCTTCATTATGATATAGTGTCCTTCTTCATCTCTTACAGTCTTTTGTTTAAAAAGTAGTTTGTCTAATATAAGTATGGGTATTCAGCTTTCTTTTGATGTCCATTAGCATGATAAATATTTCTCCATCCCCTCACTTTCAATCTGCAGACATTTTTAGGTTTAAAATGAATCTCCCGGGGCGCCTGGGTGGCGCAGTCGGTTAAGCGTCCGACTTCAGCCAGGTCACGATCTCGCGCTCCGTGAGTTCGAGCCCCGCGTCGGGCTCTGGGCTGATGGCTCGGAGCCTGGAGCCTGTTTCCGATTCTGTGTCTCCCTCTCTCTCTGCCCCTACCCCATTCATGCTCTGTCTCTCTCTGTCCCAAAAATAAAATAAAATAAAATAAAATAAAAAACGTTGAAAAAAAAAATTTTTTTTTAAAAAAATAAAATGAATCTCCTGTAGGCAGCATGTAGATAGATCTTTCTCTTTTTTTATTCATTCTGACACCCATTCATATATATATATATATATATATATATATATATAATTTATTGTCAAATTAGCTAACATACAGTGTATATGGTGTCCTCTTAATTTTGGGGGTAGATTCCCATGAATCAACATTTACATACAACACCCAGTGCTCCTCCCAACAAGTGTCCTCAATACCCATCACCTATTCTTGTTTATTCATGTTTATTTTTGAGAGAGAGAGAGAGAGAGAGCATTGGAAGGATGGGGGGGGGGGAACAGAGGATCCAAAGCATGCTCTGAGCTGATAGCAGTGAGCCCAATGTGGGGCTTGAACTTATGAACCATGTGATTATGTCCTTAGCCAAAGTTGGACACTCAATGAACTGAGGCACCCAGGCACCCCAACACCCATTCTTTTGAATGGACTATTTAGTACATTTATATTCTGAGTAAATGTTGATAGTTATGAATTTAGTGCCATCTTATTGCTTGTTGTCTTTATTTCCAGAGATTTTCTCATTTCCTTTCTAGTCTTTTTCCCAAAGAGTCCCCTTTAATATTCCTTGCAGGGTTGTTTTAATGGTCAAAGTCCTTCAGGTTTTGTTTGTCTGGGAAACTCTTTACCTCTCTTTCTATTCTGAATGATAGGTTTGCTAGATAGGGTATTCTTGGATGTAGGTTTTTTCCACTCAGCATATTGAGTATATCATTCCACTTCATTCTGCCCTGCCATTTCTGTGGAGAGATCTGGTGATGCTAATCGTATTTGTCTTCCCTTGTAAGTTAGGATTTTTTTTTCTCTTGATGCTTTTAGGATTTTTTTCTTTATCTGTATATTTGGCAAATTTAAGTACAATATCACTGGTGTTTCCCTGCTTTTCTTGATTTTGGTGGGAGTTCTGTGAGCTTCCTGGTTTTGGTAGTCTGTTTCCTCCCTCAGATTAGAAAATTTTTCAGCTATAATTTCCTCAAATAAACCTTCTGCTCTCTTTTCCCTCTCTTCTTCTTCTGGGACTCCTATGACACAAATGCTATTATATTTCATGGAGTCACTGATTTCCCAAGTATACTTTCATGATCCAAGAGTTTTCTTTCCCTCTTTTGATCAGCTTCATTATTTTCCATTATTCTATCTTCTCTTTCACTTATTTTTCCTCTACTTCTTCCATCCTTGTGTTCATTGCATCAGTCCATTTTGCATCTCAGCTATTGTATTTTTCACTTTGGCCTGAATGATTTTAAGCTCTTTTGTCTCTGAGATAAGGGACTCCTTCATGTCTTCTGTGCTTTTTTCAAGCCCAGCTAGTGATGGATAACAGCTAGGAAGTACCTCAGAACCAGAGAGTAGAGAGCCAGGGGGAGGACAAAAGTGTGCTGCAGTGGGGCCTCCTTCCATTTTGTGCATGTATATTTTGAAAAATGCAATCTGAGTGCATATACATTTTATTGAGTATCATATCTTCAGTACTTTTCATGTCACAAGTCTTCATAATGATACATTTTAATGGCTTCTAAATATTACAATTTTGCCCATAGTCCATAATGAACAGTCTTGTGTATTAACCTTTTGTTTTCCTTATTTCCTTAGAATAAATTCACAAGGGTGGGATTACTTAACCAGAGAGTATACAATTGGGATTTAACAACCAATAGCAGGTTTTATTTTTTTAGGAAAAGAAATGAGCTATAGTTCTTCTAGTCCTCTTCCTCTTCTGGAACTGAGTAGTTGACCCTGTAGAGCTGTGCTGTCCAATTAGCCACATGTGTGGTTTAAATTAAAGATAAATTAATCAAAATTAAATAAAATTCAAAATTCAGTTCCTCAGTTGCACTACCAACATTTCAAGTACCCAGTAGCTACACATGCTTGGTGGCTAGTGTATTGGAAAGCATAGAGACAGAACATTTCCATCATTGTACAAAAGTTAATGGACAGTGCTCCTTTAAGAATGTCTCAAAAGGTCATGGGTGGCATTTCGAGTGGGAATTATTTGTGGTATGGGACTTTACTGTGCTTTGAGAGGCTGTTTAGCATCTTTGGCCCATGTTCACTACATGCCAGTAGTGTTCCCTCTTGGATCAGTCTAATAACAAAAAGTCTTCCACATTTACAAATGTCCCACAATAGAATAAAACTATCCCCTTTGAGGCCCACGGAGCTTCTGTCTTAGAATAGAGAATCTCCTAACTTTTTTGTCGCTGGATTTAGGTTGGCTATGCCTGGAGAAAGAAAAGCTTAGAAAGGTGGCTTAGAAAAATAACCCTGGTTCAGGGCCTAACTGCACTCTATTCCCATTTTCCTCCCTTCTCCTACTGGTCTGTTTCTTGCTTTTTGGTAATTACAGGAACAAGACACTGCAGATGGAGAAGATCAAGGCACGTTTGAAGGCTGAGTTTGAGGCCCTTGAATCAGAGGAGAGGCACCTGAAAGAATACAAGCAAGAGATGGACCTGTTGCTACAGGAGAAGATGGCCCATGTGGAGGAACTCCGACTGATCCATGCTGATATCAATGTGGTATGTAGCTGATGGCCAGAAGCCTACCTCTAGGCCCTCTGAGAAATAGACAGTAGTGAGTACCATGGCCTCCTGTGATGTGGCTTTGGCCAACCAACTTGGGAGAGTAGGCATCAGGCTGTAGTGGAATGGAAGAATCCAGGAGTTCTGAGATCTAGTCTTGGCTCTGTCACTGATTGACTGTATATCACTGGACAAATCCCTTTTTCTGCTAGGCCCTATTTTCCTTCTCTTTACTATGACAGGGAGTCAGTCACCTCTAAAGTCTTTTTCAGCACTGATGTGCTCTCATTCTGGGAGTTGAGAGTTAGCCTTAGGGTAAAGCAGAGCAGACAACTGCCTCTTGGGTCCAGCTCAAAGGGCTCCAAAGCTTCCAAGTAGGCTAAACAAATAATATCTGCCAGCCTACTAAAGTGAGGCTCCCTCATTAGAGTCTCTCTTTTGGAGATACTTGGAACATGGAGAATAAACTGCCAGCTAAGGTGATAAGTTTCCCACTTTTTGGAGTTATTCAAATATGGTCTGAATGATCACCTGTCTGAGCTGCGGTATTGATATTCCTGCACCAGGAGGAAAATTGGAGGTGCTTACTTATAATGTCCTTTCTAATCCTTAGAGCTTATGACAATAAAAAGTATTTTTTAATTACATTTGAAGGAGTTAAGTTTTTATTCTTGGGAAACTCATTTTTATGACAATACTTATTTCCTGATATTGCCAAGCCAAGGACCTTAAAGGAAATATAGATGTGACTTAGACAGTAGTAATGGTATTTTCTGTGTCACAAGATCACAGGATTCCAGGGTCTCATGAGGAGTTGGCATTTCTGCTGCCAGCTAACCAAGGATACAAAGTCAATTCAGTTAAGAAAATATTAGCTGGGGCTGAGAATCTAACCCAGTGGATCTCAAACTTAAACATACATCAAAGTCACATGGAAGAGGCTCTTAAAACATAGATTATTGGACTCCACACCAGAATTTCTGATTTTATATGTCTGGGGTGGTGTCTGAGAATTTGAATTCCTAATGAGTTCTCAGGTGGTGCTAATGTTACTGATCTAGTGACCACATTTTGAAAACCACTGATCGAAGAGAAAAGCCACTAGCCTGGGAAGCATAAGTCCTGAATTTTTGTCTAGGTTTTGCCCCTGAGAAGTATTTCTCTGAGGAAGTTTTTTTTTTTTCTTCCTGAGTCTCAATTATCTGATATCTAAAATGTTGGTGGGGCAGACTAAATGAGCTCTAAGGTCCATTCTAGCTTTAAGGTGCTATATTTGAATAATAACTACCATTAATTGACCCTTTACTCTGTGGTAGTCCCTGTACTTAAAGCTTATATGCACTCAATCACTGAATTTTCCTAAGATTATATGAGGTAGGAACTATTATTATCACCATTATACAGATGAAAAAAACTGAGGCTTGAAGAGAGTCACATAGACTACAGGGTGAATTAAGGACATGACTATAGATTGGCCTGGCTCTGGAGCCTGTGCTATTTTATCCACTCAGCTATAGACCCTTGTGGAGAATGTTGGTGTCTTTTCTTGGTACCTACCTCACTCTATGTTTCAGATGGAAAACACCATCAAACAGTCTGAGAATGACCTAAACAAGCTGCTAGAGTCTACACGGCGGCTGCATGATGAGTATAAGCCACTGAAGGAACATGTGGATGCCCTGCGCATGACTCTAGGCCTGCAGAGGCTCCCTGACCTATGTGAAGAGGAGGAGAAGCTGTCCTTGGAGTAAGCTGCTTGCTCCCTGTCCTTGCAACATACACACACACAACACATACATACTTACACACACATGTAGCGGCACATATACAAACATAAAATCTGGTTTAAAAGTCATGGTACCCAGTCCTAGCCCCAGGACTGTCAGTGGTTGACTCATTGTATGACCTTGGGCAAGTCTCTGTGCACCAAAACAAGGACAGTTAGACTAGTATTTCTAGGTGGCTTTTAAAATTCTTTGTGCAATTTTGGTAACACATGACTGTGTCTGTGACTCTTTATGTGTGTGTGTGTGTGTGTGTGTGTGTGTGTGTGTGTGTCTGTGACTCTTACAAGTTTACTTCCCAAGTCAAGGTCCAGAAGGGATGTCTAGAAACCTTTGAAAATATAGAAGGCTGGGCTTTCATGGTCTCTAGCGGCTAGCCTTGGAACTTCTGTTTAAGACCCAGAATTAAGAACTATACTCACCTTACAGAGACAGTTAAATTCAGTAGAAGGAAACAGACTTCCATAAGGCAGAGCAGGCTGCCTGTGGATGTTGTGAGCTTCTTACTCTGAAAAGCATGTCAGCATAGGCCTGAGGATACTTAATGGGAATATTGCAAAGGTACATGGGATAAAAAATAGGAAAATGCCCTTTAAGGACTTTGCTAGCCCTGGGATTCTTGATTTTCTGGGTCTATCAGAGCCAGAGAGCAGAAGGATTACCCTTACCAGCAGACAATGAGCCAGGTACCCAAGGGGAACCTTGTGCTGGGGAGGGTGTAGGAACTTTCTACACTGAGCCACAGCCCAACCCCTTTGGTTCTGTGGCATGGAGTCTCTAAGAGGGGCAAGGTTCTCCTTGCTTTCAGAATGATCCAGCTAATGTCTTTCATCTCCAAAGTTACTTTGAGAAGCAGAAAGCAGAGTGGCAGACGGAGCCTCAGGAGCCCCCCATCCCTGAGTCCCTGGCCGCTGCAGCCGCTGCTGCCCAACAACTCCAGGTGGCTAGAAAGCAGGACACTCGGCAGACAGCCACCTTCAGGCAACAGCCTCCACCTATGAAAGTAAGTGAGCTGGGTAGGGGTTGTGGAGGAAGAAAGGTGTCTTCAAGCAACCTCATGGAAGGCTGGGATGGGGGCTTTGGAATTACCTATTTGGTGCCTTCCTAAAACAGCCTTTGCTTAGGACACAGAAGAAGGGGTGTTTTATATGTGCTGTAGCAGACCAGCTGTTTTTTTTTTCTTTCAAGATTTTATTTAAATGTAAGTTAGTTAACATATAATGTAGTATTTGTTTTAGGAGTAGAATTTAGTGATTCATCACGTGCATGTAACTCCCAGTCCTGATCATAACAAGAGCCCTCCTTAATTCCCCTCACTCATTTAGCCCATTGCCCACCCACCTCCCTTCCAGCAACCTTCAGTTTGTTCTCTGTATTCAAGAATCTCTTATGGTTTGTATCCTTCCCTCTCTGGTTTTATCTTATTTTATTTCATTCCTTTCCCCTATGTTTATCTGTTTTGTTTCTTAAATTCCACATATGAGTGAACTCATACGGTATTTGTCTTTCTCTCACTGACCTATATCGCTTAGCATAACACACTTGTTCCATCCATGTTGTTGCAAATGGCAAGATTTCATACTTAGTTATGACTGAGTAATATTCCATTGTATATATATACTACATCTTCTTTATCCATTCATCAGTCGATGGACATTTTTGCTCTTTCCACAATTTGCCTATTGTTGATAATGCTGCTACAAACATTGCAGTGCATGCACCCCTTCGAATCAGTATTTTTGTAACTTGGGGTAAATACCTAGTAGTGCAATTGCTGGATCATCAGGTAGTTTATCCCTGATGAATATGGATGCAAAAATTCTCAGTAAGATACT